TTTTCCGTAACCGGTTCGTCCCAATCTTTTTTTTCTCTCCATAATTGCTGCATAATAAGTTTTGAAGTTATAACTACCGGAGTAATGAATCCTAACGGATCGAATATGCTAGCTATAGATGCTAAAATTTTTCGTTTGGTTTGTATATTGTCTATAGCTAAAACGTTGTTATAAATTTTAAAATTATCGGATGTAGGTTGCCATATAACCCCTAAAGTTTTAATTATCTTTTCTTTGTCAAACCCTACATTTATATTTTCACCTATATTCTTATCATTAATTAATTCTATATTATTGCTTGACCACTTATGTAGTTCAAACCCACCTTCGGCTAAGAGATTGTTAATTTCGGTTATTAATAATTTTGCTTCTTGTAAAGTGTCTGCACCGGAGATTATATCGTCCACGTAACAATCTGACTGTAGAATTTTGGACGCTTTTGGGTATATTTCGTTATAATCTATAGCTAACTTTTCAAGACATTTCATTGCTAAATATGGCGCGCAATTAGTGCCATACGTTACGGTATTTAACTTATAGCATCCTACAGGCATTCCGGGCGCCTCACGCCATAAAATTCTTTGGTAGTTCTGATGTTCGGATTTAATTTTAATTTGACGAAACATCTTGACTATGTCCGCCGTAAATACAAATCTATGTGTCCTAAATCTAATTAATATGGTAAACAAATCTTTTTGTAAACGCGGTCCCGGTAGCAGTATGTCATTCAAAGATAGACCGTTTGAAGATTTTGCCGAAGCGTCAAAAACTACTCTTAATTTTGTTGTTAAACTAGCTTCGCGAACTATCGCGTGGTGTGGCAAATAATAATTATGTTTGTCTAAATTACGATTTTCAATTTCGTCAATCTTTGTTGCATGGCCTAATCTTATGTATTCTCTTATAAAATTGTCGTAATCTGCCGCAAGTTTTTTGTTATTTGTTAATCTTTTTTCCAAATTCATAAATCTTTTGTACGCTTGTGAATAAGTGGACCCAAGAGAATTACGCGGATCGCTTCTAAATGGTAACGCAACTTCAAATCTACCATTTGAATCCCTACTGACGTTTTGTTCAAATATGTCTTCTGCTCGTAATTCCTCTTGCGATAAGATACACCCTTCATTTAATTCCTCTATTTCCCAAAACTGTTTTAACTGGTCAGTTATATTTTCCTCGGTTGTTAACCCTACGTGCGCAAAAAAAGTCTTATATTCTACCGGACCGCAAAATGACCAACCAAAACTAGTGTTAAATAATGTTATTTTGTTTTTCAATTTAATTTGCTCATTTTTTAAACTTTCAAAAAATACTTCTGCACCTAATATTAAATCTATTTGTCCCGGCGAGTTGAAATTAGGATCGGCTAGTATGCAATCTTTCGGTATATCCCAATTTGATATGTCAACGCGTACTCCCGGTAAATTATTTGCAATATTTTGCATAACGGTACAATTTAAAGTTTTAGTATAATTGCTAATCCTAGATGCGACTTGTAGAGTTACCGAACCTAAAACATTGGCATTTATACCGCCTATCCCGCCAACCGTTATATTTGTTTTTTTATAGGTTAATTTTAAATTTTCTGCTAGAGACTTGGAAATAATATTTATCTGTGAACCAGAGTCTAGAAGAGCGCGCGCTGTAGATGTCGTTCTACCGTTTGGTACAAGCACTAGAACTGTGGGTAAAAGGGTTTGTTTTTGTTCCGCTTCTGCAATCATGGTCATAGTGCTTGTACTGGGTTTCGCTATATTTAAAGAATCTTCAGAATTATGTAAGACAGAATTATGACGCCTTTTGCAAAACGAACATCTGCGTTTACTATGGCATTGTGATATTACATGCGAGGATTTAAGGCAGTTAAAACACAATTGCGTCTTTCGTACAAATTCAGCGCGATCATTTACTTGTAGTTTTAAAAATTCCTCACATTGATTGAGGTAATGTTCTTTATTACAAAAGGGGCATTTTTGTTTTATAGGTGCAGCGAAATGAATTCTCTGAACCGGAATATTCATATTGGATCGTTGCTCGCGGTTCATATCGTAAGTTGCACAACGCTTTTCTAAAAAGGAAAAAAATTCGTCTAATGACGGTAGATTATTTTTGGAAATGGATGCACCCCACGCCATTTGGGTATCCATATCTAACTTTGCCTTTAATATAAATATAAATATGAGATCGGAGAGCTCTACTGAGAGTCTCTCGTTTTTAATCGCGGATATGTGCTGTCGCGATTTGCATAAAAAATTTCTGAGTGATTTGTGATCCCTATTTTGCGGTTGATTTACAATTTCTTTTAATTGCGCGTTAATTAATATCAATTTATTATCATAGGTACCCACTAACGTATCCCATGCAATTTGAAAATTCGCTTCTGTGATTGATAAATTTTTTATTAAATTGGCGGCTTCTCTTTGTAGTGAGTTTTTTAAATAATGCAACTTTTGAGAATTCGTTAATAATTTATTCTCTATAATTAAACTCAAAAACATGTCTCTAAATTCCGGCCATTTAGAAAACTCTCCATCAAAATTCGGCAAATGAATTTGAGGGAGCTGAACTTTAGCTGAAGCTGACTCAGACACATTCTGCGCGCATGCATTACTTTGTCTACAACCGGCCAATAAATTATCTATTGTAGACAAAATCTTGCAATATTGCGTTTCTATCTCGTCGCGATCGCCTTCGAATTCATCTAAATTAATCATTTCTAACTCATCTTGCGCTTCATTATATTTATTAAATGCGTCATTGAGAAGCTGCTTACGCGCGTTTAGTTCCGAAATACTCAATTCGGAATCAAATTTTGAAATATAATTTTGTGTCCGCGTTATTTTCGATTTTGCTGATCTGCGCTTTTCAATTAAAATATTTTGGTTTTCCATTGTGATGTGATAGCCTTTACAATTCAAATACGGAAAAAATGATTAATAAAATATAAAGGTTATCTAAAATATAAATGATGTTAAAAATAGAACAGAAAAATGTTTGTGAAAAAACTATGATAGAGTAACTATAAAATTCAAAAGTCAAGCCTAAACTAATTGGTGAACTTGAACTCCCTATCCCCTTGGAAGATGGCGCCTCTGATGTAAGTAATAGTTTGGAAGCGTACCTCAATGTCTGCGTTGAATCCTCGGGTATACCTGACTTCTGCATGCGCGCCCTTTCGTACGCGACGGATGCTCGGTGCTGGGTTGCGAAATCTCGTTTCTGCAAAAGCGCTGTTGCACACTACGGCGTTCGGGGGCGGCTCGGTTGCGTTCGGCGGCGCTTCGGTTCTTAAGGGTGCTTCTTACGCTCGCGGGGATGCTGACGATGGCTAATGGCTGCTGACTGAATCCTTTGCAATCTTTTAAATTTTCACTTTTGTTTGGATTTATATCCAACTGCACTGCTTTATTTCAAATGTTTATATGTTCATCAATTATATTTTAATCACTTTGTTATATTTTGGTTTAAGCAGATCACTTGAATGCTTTATGCTGTTAAACACACGTGTTTTTAAATTTGCTTTTGATTATTTATTGATTAACGCACACTGTTTTATAATTTATTTTTAAATTTTCAATAATGGACTGTATTTTGATTTAACTTTGTAACTATTCACTCATTTTCATAATTATTCGGCTCGAATGGACCATTTTATGGGACATTTCCCATAAATGTAAATTTGGGTTTATATTGAAACACACTTTGTAATTCAATAATTTATTTCACTTATTAGTAAGATTTTATAATATTATTTTAGTTTACTTTGACTGGTTTCGCGAGTCGGGCGGTTAATTATAATAACAAACTTGAGAAATTTGACTGCTTTCGCTCGTCAAGCGGGTACTTTTTATGTGCTTTCTTGGTGACGCTTAAAGTTGTACTACTTAAAATTATACCTAATATTTGGGTAAATATTTTTTATTGCCCTGTATGAAGCGAACAGCTTTCTGCTTGTGCGGTGTTGCAGTTTTTTGAACATTGGAGCAGCAATTCGCTCCACCATGCTACAATTAGCCCCAGGATTTTGTTTCAACTAACCCTATGTGTGATTTTATTAAATTATTCAAGATAACTATTTGAACAATTTAGCAATTTGTTGGCAGTATGATGGTTAATTAGGTAGTAGTGATGATGGTGCTAGTTGTGTTGTTATGCTTGAAATGCTACGTATTTTCTCAAAATCTGATAAAATTCTCAAACACAATATCATATTTTTATTCAATGGAGCAGAAGATAATTTGACGCAGACTTCACATTACAAAAGTTGTTACATTATCGAAGATTGATAATCTTGTAACAAACTAAGATTTATAACATTTAAAACTAGTCAATAATAATAACGTAAACCGAATTTTTATGATAGTAAATTTTTTTAATATTACATGTTGAAAATGATAGTCTTGCACAGTTCTGTATATTGCGTCGGCCTGTGGAACAGTAGTATGTATGTCTAATCGAGACAAAAAAATATTTTAATATCGTTTATAATCCTACTGAAAAACAATATGCCTCGAGCTCCCTTAATTAATTTTAAGTCTAAAAATAAAGTTTCAATCAAAGTATTTAAGGTAGCCACGATGTTGAAAACTGATAAAAGAAGAGAAAAATTTTATGATGTAAATTATTTAGCAGAAAAAATATAAAGATGTGTTTATTGTTATTATAATTGGATAACACATTACAAAATTCTAACGTGATCATAAACCACAACGTGGCTATTGATAGAATCAGCATTTTATCCATCCAAATATGTCTTACTTACATTTGGCTGATACGAATTTACATAGATTGCGGCTAAATTACAATCCAAATATATAGTAATTATCTAAATACATTAACAATATATACAATTTCAAACTTATCATTTTAGAATAAAGTTTGCTATAATTATTTCTATAACTATTACTATTTATATATTATCATTATTAGTCCAACTCTACACTATTATGATAAATTATTACAATTATTCTACAATTTGGTCTATATATATGGCATTTTGAGTACTAATTTTATACAGTATTTATTATTATTGTAGGAAAATATGATTATAATTTGATTTGCATAGAAAGCGTTAGATTTGTACTTATCTATTTGCAATTATTTTGGGATCCTTTGTCACTTGCATCTGTATTATTTGTCACAATTACAACAACAGGTCCTGAATGTTTATATAGCAAACTATCTTCTACGGTTGTACCTTGCTCATTTTCCGATAAGTTTTCACATTCTTGACCCTGTTCCATAAATTTTATATGTTGTGGCTTGGTGAACAAGGCTTCCGAAGTCGACTTGTGTCGCGATCTAAAGATAAGTATAAATAAATGATTAATTATTGTTTAAAAAAATATTTAGAACTTGGCTAGTTGATGTGAGCATAAGAAACATTGATAATTACACAGATCCCTAAAGAAGAAAGTTGTCTGTATTAGGTGTGCGACATATGTTACCAAATTATGGTAACCGATATATTTTTCAATGTTGAACACGAATCTGAAGTCAAAACTAGGGGTCAAATGGAAAAATGAAGAAAAATAAGAAAAACCGACAAAATTTCCAATTTAGTAATTTTTCTGCATAATAAATAACATCTCATAATTTCTATAATTTCCTGGACATTTTTTTCCTTAAATTACTATTCATTGAAATTTCCAACGCTTTTTCATCTCTGTTGAGTTTCTTTTAGTAGAATCCAGTAGTATATATTTTAAGAGTAGAGTAAATATGTTTGCAGATTATCTAGGGACAATGGGGAGAAATTATGTTTCCAAATTACTGCTGGGAACGCCAGAAAGATATTCAACAGAAAAGATAAGATTTTAATTAATTATCATGCAGATAAATTTCTGAATCAAAGATTTTGTCATTTATTTTCACCATTTTTTGCTTTAGATTTGTGTTCAGCAATAAAAAATCTTTAGAAAGCATAAGTTGCACATCCAATACAGACAACTTTTTCTGTGGACCTGTATTATTTATAATACATAGTTTAATTAATAATAAATTAATATTTTTCCAAATTAGAAGTTATACTCTGGTAAAACTCTAACTTATTTATTTATTTATCTATTCATAAGCAAACCGCAATCAATAATAATAAATATTGCAAAAGAGCTGAAAAAAAGCATTCAAACATTAAATACAATGTTCATCATCAAGTTCATCATATTAAAGTTATTAGACCACCAGTCAAGCCCAAAATTCTTGCACAAGGTTGAAAGTTAAACTGATTTAAAATCGCAAAAATTAAAGTAATAAAATAGCAATGAGAAACCAGCAAAAATAAAATTATCATAAGTAAACATAAAGAAAAAGGTTGTACAGTAGATCAAATGGTCAGAGTACATAGATGAAAGATGAGGATTATGCAAGAAAATAGTTATTGAAATAAAATTGAGAAAATTCTGCGTTGTCATAAAAAGCTAATTTAAAAAGTTTAACTAAGGTAGCATGGAATTTTTTGTTGTCTAAGTTTTGAAGACTGAGTGGAAGTTTATTCACAAGCTGAATACCTAACCGTCGATGGTATTGAAAGTGCTGGCTAATTTATATGTGCGCGCCTTAATAAGTTTGAGTCTGGTGTTGTAATTGGAGGAGGACGAAGCGATATTAAAAAGTTTCGAACTGTATTTGATGAAAGATAATGTTACCAGCAAAAAAACGCATGGGACAGTTAGAATTTTGTATTTTTTAAAATGGTTCTGCAGGAAGCTTTACTGGGCAAGGAAAAATTTATTCGTATATCTCTTTTCTAAAGCTTAAATATTTTAATTAGCTCGGATGAAACACCCCAAAATTGGATGACGTATGAAACGTTAGAATAAAAATTGCGATAATTAACTGAAAGATATGTGATCAGACCAATTTAAATTATTATTAATATGAATACCAAGGAATTTTGATACTGACAAAAAAAAATATAAATTGAATTATTAATTATTAAAGAAGTAATATATAGGATAAACGATGTTTTGTACAAAAAGATATAATTTGACTACCATCATTATTCAAGACGAGATTATTTGCACAAAATCATTTCGTTATTTCTGACATAACCACACTTAATTTATGTTGTAATTCATTACGAGATTTGGCTGATGTCATCCGCAAAAAAGAATAAAATCACAAAGATTTGTTCAAAGAGGTAAATCATATTAATATAGATGAGAAATATAACTGGCCTTAATATTGATCATTGAGGCACACCTAATGTACTACAATTATCGGCAATTACTTGCTCATGATCATTATTTAAGTAAACGCTTTGGTTTCGATTAGACAGGTAAGATTCGAAATTTTAGTTTAAGTGAACGTCCTCGAATACCATAATTTCCTAATTTGTCAAGAAGTCTTTAGACAGATCGCAAAATACTGCTGTACCAAAAGTAGCTTGTTCAAAGGAGTCAATGGTGTTATGAACTAAGTTATAAACTGAGTGGGAAGTAGAATGGTTCTTACAGAATCCATGCTGTTAAAAGTTTAACATTTTTTTAAATTACAAAGAACCGGCTCGGCCAATCGTCGCACAAAACTGAGAAACTATAATCCTCATCAAAATACATCAAATGGCTTTTAAATTTTTGAAATCGGTTATGGCGTTTTTGAGAAAATGTCGATCAAAGGTCTAATTTTGACAAATGCGATACCATCGATACCAATTGTTGCAAACTTAAAGTTAAACGAGTTGTCGTAGGGCCGTAATATTTTGGTATGATCTACAAGACTATGCTATCTACCGTCAAAAATCATAAAAATCGACAAAAAAAATTTTTTAACACTTTATTACAAGAAAATGGCCCGGCCGACCTTTACCAAAAACTAATCAGCACGATTCCCAACCAATATTTCTCGAACAGTTTTTGAATTTTCAAAATCGATTCAGAAAACGCGGACGAAATTTTTACACTTTTCTGCTATTTATAAATAAACGGTTTGGTCAATCGCGCAAACGATAGTCCTCATCGAGATGCATCGAATGGCTTTTAAATTTTTGAAATCGGTTCAGCCGTTTCCAAGAAAACGTCGATTTACAGCAAAAAATCTGTTCACATATACACACACACATAATATTTCCAAATTTGGTCTCATTCTATTCAGAATGACTTGAAACGTCGAGAAAACATAAAAGTAGCAAATCGGATTTTTTGATAAAAGCATAAACTTCTTCGGGAAGTTAATAAACATTAGTCAAGAAAATTTTTTAGAATTATATTATACAGAAAACTTACTTTTAATTGTTTCGAAAATTTGGAAAACCATCCAATTGCAAACAGTTGCTAAATAGTTCTAAAATTAAATAGTTTTATTTAGCGGTGCAAAATAATGTAATTTATAACTTTAAGACAAAATATAGCCAGGGTACGACTTGAGCAACCTTACCCTACATTTTACTTAACAATCTTAACTTTCTATATTATTATTGATGTTGTAACAATTTAAAATTAATTTTGTGAAATATAGACCTCCTTGAGACCGTACTGCATCGGTAATAAGTGATTATGAGATTTGTAAATAGTGATTATAAAATTGTAAGATGTATGTAATTATCACAAAATGATAAGAAGTTATGAGAACATAATGTGCAAAAAATGATATTTGATTGTTCTTGCCTAATTATCAAGTATTATCAAATAGCATTGAAATATTTGACTGTCGATTAACAAAAATGATAAATTCGAAAACGGTCGTAGGTAATATTACATAGAGGAAATACAGACAAAATAGTATATATGGGCAAAAAGACATAGTAGCCATATTTAAAAATCAGCTAGTTTCATTATTGTTTTTGCGAATGTGTAACATAAAAAAGCCATAGTAACAATCCTGTCAGATGTTGAGCGTCATTGTCAGTCTTGTTGCAATGTTCAGTTCAAACGTCTTTCGCGCCTAAAAAAGTTCATTTTGGGGATGTTTTTCTCATGCATTTTGGTATTATTTGATGTTCGTAATTATTTCAAATAATATCATCGAAATCAATATTGATTTCGATCAATTTCATTGCAATAGTCATGTGTTTGGTGTAATTTTGATTAATTATTACTTTTTGTTCAATTTCGAACAAAATAACATACTTATACAATGGACAAAATGACAAAGTACTATTTTTCAAATATTGCAGGGCCAAGAAAAAAACTAGTGGTGATTGGCATCTAAAAAATTTGGAATATATAAAAAATAATTTTCGATTTTTTGCGATAACTATAACTTAAATAGACAAGAAATAAATGCCAAAAACAGATCAAATCGGTAAAAAGAAGAAACTTGAATTTGTTGCAAAACTCTCTTTTTCCTTTCTTAGCCCGGCAAAGATTGGTTACGATGTGCTAACCTTTTAGGTTTTTTGTAATCTGCTCTCTTAAAAATTAGCATCTGAGTAGGTATGTCCTTACTAGAGATGGGCTTATTATATCCGAAGCCGGATCGACTCGGATTTGAATCCGCTTCATGGTGGAGTTATATCCACTAAACAACTCCACGACTCCGACAATTTTGAACCCGAAATACTCGAAACAAATGTGTTCTATAGTACGCTGTTTATGTATCTAAGGATTTGCCAAATCCTATTAATTATTTGAAATAAAAATTAATGAATAATTATCAATAAACTATTTGTTCTAAAACATTCACGAATAAATGACGGATTGTAAAATTTTTCGGTCAACCAGATGATCGACTCAGTGACTCGTATTTTTAGCAGTGTTGACCAGAGTAAAAACGCAAAACTTGAGAATCAAATTCAATTTAATGATTTCCTTTTGATGAGAAAATGATTGATTTTTTGGATTAATTTTATATAAAAATTATGTAGAAAACTTTGTAATAAAAGCAAAACATAATACTTCTGCTTTCAAAATTTTTCTTCTGCTATTTCCATTTGATAATTAATATTATATCGCGTAGTTCAATTAGCATATTATTACTTTTACACAATTATATAATTGTGTAAAAGTAATAATATAATACTGAATATTTTTTACTGCTTAAATACTAATGATATCACTGATAAATTTTGTACTCTAAAGTGTTGTTTTTTCAGGCTATGGAAAAACAAGATTAAATAAATGTATTTCGTTTCGTATATTTTTGCCGTCATTTACGGCCAAAGATTGTCGTAGTTAGAAATATCAATAAACTATACATTTGAGCTATTCACACTTGAATACAATTTTATTGTTCTTTATCTTTAAAGTAACATTTTTGTATTTTCTGGAAAATACACAATGGTATTTATTTTGACTTTTATACCTAAAAAAGGTCATAAAACTGCCTGCGAGACAAGAAAGTGACCGCTTACTTCCCAAATCAAAAACGACAAAAACACTAAATGCCTGTACGAGTTAACAGATTTAATACCAGTTTAACGAAGTCGGATATGGCAAATCCTGTGAAACAACTCCACTCGGATTCACTCCGAGGGAGGAGTTGTATCCGAGTGATAACTCCGGAGTGAGTTACCCATCTCTGGTCCTTACCCTATATGTCATATTGTCCGTATTGTATGGACAGAATGTTTTTTTAATAGATTGCATTTTTCCTTGATAAATATGTTACTACTTAAATGTGTTAGGTACTACTTAAATAAAAGACTACGGTAGTGTTAGTCAATGAACCAATGAACTAAGATGAGTGGATATGATTGACTCTGAACAGAATATCATTAAATAAATTAATATCATTAAAAAACAAAATCACATTGTCATTTTGTCTAATCGCAATATTAATTATAGTATAGCGTTATAGTAATCGCAAAAAAGTTGAAAATGAAATTTTTTATATATCTTTACGTTTCAGAGGTTTCTGAACATTTTGGCATACCTTAGAAAAAATGCATGCATGTGTGTGTATGTGTGTGTATCTGCGGATAGAAATTTTTGTCGACGATTTCGGGAACACGGTTCAACCGATTTCAATTATTCAAAAAACATTCGATTGCTGTTGATAAGGAGACGTGCGGATTAGTTTCGAATATAAGGGGTAAAAAGTGTCAGAAACGGTAACTCAGTTTTTAAGAGAACGGAGTGTCCGATTTTAATAATTCAAAAAACATTTTACTTGTATTGACAAAGATCAACAACTGATTTAATTTTCATAAAGACAGGTCTAGCAGTTTTGGAGATCTAGTAAAAAAAATGGCATTTGGCGGTCAAAAATAATCATTAGACATATGCACATCCAGCTAATTTTAGGTCAAAGCAATCTTGTTGGGGTATTTTGGTCTAGAATCAAAAAAAAAATTGTTCGTTTATTTTTAGATTTTTTCAAAGTTTAACTATTCAAGAACATGTATACAAGATTTCTCAAGAACATGTATACAAGATTTTTCAAAATTTAAATCATATTCGGAGATATAGCTGCTGTTTGATCACGACAATACTGCTGTGCTTCCTTTCTTTGCAAAACTTCAAACTCGTTTTTCACGAAATTGTCTTTTTCCATACCCACGGTTTCCGAACTTCTACCGAATTGATTCACTTAATACTTTTACAAGTATGAAATTACGTTCAACCTCAAATTCCGATTTTTTTACTAGTTTAAAAAAAGTTGAGAATATCAAGAATTCTAATTTTTTTCTTCAGACAATCGTTTTCTGGTAAAAAAATTATTCTAACTTGTCCGTAGTTCATACAATGGCGACATTATTATATATTAATAATTATGCTTTTATTCGACGTATTGTTCAAAAAAATGTCACACACACATATACAGTACAGGCCAAAAGTTTCCGGACACATAAAAAAATATCATTTTCTGAGTTTTTAGCTATATTTTTCATATAAAAATAATTTTATTAAAGTTGGTTTTGTACATTCTACGTAGTATTAATATTTAGTGACTGATTTGTAACCAATTTGTGAGAAATGATAGACTAATTAGTAATGAAAATGTTAAAATGTCACTGCAGTCGATATTCCTTAACTTTGATTAAAAACTATCCCAATCGAACATTACATCTAATTAGAAATAAATAAGAGCTGATTATTTAATTGACTGTTCAGGATAATAGTAATTATTAATTGGTCATGTTTTTTTGACTTATTGCCTCTACTTATAGAGTACAAACTGAGTGTAAGTGGAATTTTTACGCAGGATGCGTAAACATGCCAATATATGTAAATAATAATATTTCATAATAGTGTGTTTTGGTAAGCATTCCGTACTTTAATATACAAAATATGTTAAAATAAAGAAAACATTTATTTTTCAAAAAAAGTAATTTTTTGTTTCTCAAAAATTGAATTTTTTTGAAGTAAAATCTTTTCAAAAACGTTAATCGTTTTTAAAAAAATAAAAAAATAATTTTTGGTACGGGAAGTTCGAGCAATTTGCCTTAGGGCACGATGCCATGCGCCCCACTAGTTTAGTAGTTTTAATCGCACAAAACAAATGTGATTTAACATTTAACAAAACTATTTTTATAAATGTGCATATACAAAAGAAAATAAGATAATGTTTAAAAACCTCTTATCCTTCTCGCGTTTGAAGTACAGGGTTAGATATTGCACGGGCAACATAACACAATCTCCTGCATTTTCTTCGGCATCAACGTAGACGCCTCGTACCAACACAGAGTTTCCACAGTTCAGCACCATTAGCACAAACAGACAACCGGCATGAGTTATCCAATCGCTTGCGATTCTATGCTCTGTCATGGAATAAAAATATTATATCATAATATATATTTTTAACAAAATAATGTTTTATATTAGATTACAATTACTTTCTATGTTGAGTCCAGAATTTTATAAAAATCTAAGGGAAGAGTAGATATTTTATGTAAGGTAAGGATATCGATACTTGTCTCTGAATTTTCTGGTCCACAAAGTTAAAAACTTCAAAAACAATACTACAATAAGTGTTTTTGTAGTGAAACTATAAATACTTACCACTTTCAGATATAAGTTATTGTGAACACAATTATTACCTGGTAAAAAATATAAGTCGAGAAGCTGCCATATGCTTCTCCAAACATTGACAGTTCCAATGAAACTAAAAAATAGAAATAAGTCAGCAACTAAAACTCTCCAAAATCCTTCCAAACGAGCACATGTCCATCGCATGATAGGCTGAAGACTGAATGTGAGTATTACAATCCCGTAGCCAAGTGCCTAAAATAATCAATCAATCATATAATTTGAAATAGCATAGAACAGAAATGTATTAAAAACTAAATGTCAAAATGAAAGAAATTGTGTTAAGTATTATATTTTCTATATAATGTGCATTCAGCGCGTAAACAGATTGCACAATATTTTATTTAATATTAAAATAATTCAATAATAAATGTTAAACAAGTTCAAAATTTTGTAAAAATGTTCTAAATTCAAAATTTACCAACTTTGCAAATAAATATAACCGTTTCATAATTTCTTTTTTTAACATCATAAAATTAAAAAATTATCCAAAATTTGCAATTTATTCAAAATATTTTCAAAATCACAAAAGTTTATAGTATACTAGTTGTGCCCGATCACGTGTTGCTGTGTTATACGTGTAATTAAAATTGTTAACAAAAATGCCGTTTTGTTACATGTAGTTATGATGGCAAAAATATGAATCAAAATTCAAGTGAAAAACGTCTACAAAAAGACGGTAAAATTGAGCTTTTCTATAAGATCAAAAAAGCTCAATCAAAATTCAGTCAAAAACTTTACTGATAGAAATGAATATAAATCGGTTTTAAAAACCGGTTTTTTGACAAAAATTATGGTATTCGAAAACCGTATTTTAGTGAAAAAAATCAGTTTTTACTGTATAAATGGAAAATGACAAATATAGCCAAATATAAAAGATAGATGCAAGCGTTTTGATTCTTGAAATCATATCGGTTCAATAGCATTTGGAATCTTATCAGTCTGCTATGGCTCACAGAAACGTTTTGTATTATCTTTTGTATATATTAATTTAGATTTTTTTACCAGTGTATATATTAATTTAAATCAATGTGACTTCTTCTTGAAGAAGTAACTTTCTCTACTCAAACTTAAAAGAAAAAGTTTTTAGTCTTAGAAACCACAAATAAAATAACAAAAAACTTAGAATTATTATATCAGGCTTTAAAAACAATTAAGCCTAATTCGGTCGCAAGTAATACTGGTCTCTTTGACAGATGGCAACCCAATCAGTAGTCACATTTCTGTATGATGTATTATCATTACAATTTCTGTAATAGGGCGAACATTTTTATTGGTGCAACAATGACTGGAGTGGACTATTTTCACTTGGAAACATATTGCTTTCTATATTTCCAAGTGCAAATTGTTGTCACTGCTGCCTGACAACAGGCTGCTCGAAGTGGATATCGAACCCGGGACCTCTGCAACAAGTCGCGTCGCTCTTAACCGCTTACCTACGGGCGAGCCCGAGTTGTTTTTAAAACTAAAATTGATATTAAGAAGTATGTATCAACATGTATCTAATATATTAACTTCCCGTAGGGTAAGTTATTGTAATGGACCGAAAATCGGAATTGAAAATTTTTACATTTCTCGACGTTTTGAAGGTTTCTGAACATTTTGGCATACCTCAGAAAAAATGGATGGGTGTGTGTGTGTGTGTATGTATGTATGGATACAAATTTCCAGTCACGTTTTCGGGCGCACGGACCAACCGATTTGAATGGTTCAAAAAACATTCGATTTCTATCGATAGGGAAAAGAGCTGATTAGTTTCTGGCAAAGGCAGGTCCAGCCATTTCGGGAATACTGAGCAAAGAGTGCAGAAAATAGAAATCGACTTTTTGAGAGAACGAAGTATCCGATTTGAATGATCTAGAAAACATTCAATTAGTAATGATTGGGAAGAGTGTTTATTAGTTTTTGGCAAAGGCAGGCCCAGCCAAAGGTCGTGGGTTCGATCCCCACGAGGGGTGGTTTGTATTCTTTCTATTTTTAGTCGAAAGTCATTTTTTTTGTCGTTTCTTTCTTGATACCCAACCGTAGTCCCTTTGGCGCAGCGGATAGCGCGTTGGACTTATAAATATAAATATAGTATTCTTTCTATTTTTAGTCGAAAGCATTTTTATTGTCGTTTCCTTCTTGATATCGCCCAAGTGTAGTCCCTTTGGCGCAGCGGATAGCGCGTTGGCCTTCTAATCCAAAGGTCGTGGATTCGATCTCCACAAGGGATGGTTTGTATTCTTTCTATTTTTAGTCGAAAGCCATTTTTATTGTCGTTTCTTTCTTGATATCACCCAAGCGTAGTCCCTTTGGCGCAGCGGATAGCGCGTTAGACTTCTAATCCGAAGGTCGTGGGTTCGATCCCCACAAGGGATGGTTTGTATTCTTTCTATTTTTAGTCGAAAGCCATTTTCATTGTCGTTTCTTTCTAGATATCGCCCAAGCGTAGTCCCTTTGGCGCAGCGGGTAGCGCGTTGGAATTCTAATCCAAAGGTCGTGGGTTCGATCCCCACAAGGGATGGTTTGTATTCTTTCTATTTTTAGTCGAAAGCCATTTTTATTGTCGTTTCTTTCTTGATATCGCCCAAGCGTAGTCCCTTTGGCGCAGCGGATAGCGCGTTGGACTTCTAATCCAAAGGTCGTGGGTTCGATCCCCACAAGGGATGGTTTGTATTCTTTCTATTTTTAGTCGAAAGCCATTTTTATTGTCGTTTCTTTCTTGATATCGCCCAAGCGTAGTCCATTTGGCGCAGCGGATAGCGCGTTGGACTTCTAATCCAAAGGTCGTGGGTTCGATCCCCACAAGGGATGGTTTGTATTCTTTCTATTTTTAGTCGAAAGCCATTTTTATTGTCGTTTCTTTCTTGATATCGCCCAAGCGTAGTCCCTTTGGCGCAGCGGATAGCGCGTTGGACTTCTAATCCAAAGGTCGTGGATTCGATCTCCACAAGGGATGGTTTGTATTCTTTCTATTTTTAGTCGAAAGCCATTTTTATTGTCGTTTCTTTCTTGATATCACCCAAGCGTAGTCCCTTTGGCGCAGCGGATAGCGCGTTGGACTTATAAATATAAATATAGTATTCTTTCTATTGTTAGTCGAAAGCCATTTTTATTGTCGTTTCTTTCTTGATATCGCCCGAGCGTAGTCCCTTTGGCGCAGCGGATAGCGCGTTGGACTTCTAATCCAAAGGTCGTGAAAGCCATTTTTATTGTCGTTTCTTTCTTGATATCACCCAAGCGTAGTCCCTTTGGCGCAGCGGATAGCGCGTTGGACTTCTAATCCAAAGGTCGTGGGTTCGATCCCCACAAGGGATGGTTTGTATTCTTTCTATTTTTAGTCGAAAGCCATTTTCATTGTCGTTTCTTTCTAGATATCGCCCAAGCGTAGTCCCTTTGGCGCAGCGGATAGCGCGTTGGACTTCTAATCCAAAGGTCGTGGGTTCGATCCCCACAAGGGATGGTTTGTATTCTTTCTATTTTTAGTCGAAAGCCATTTTTATTGTCGTTTCTTTCTTGATATCGCCCAAGCGTAGTCCCTTTGGCGCAGCGGATAGCGCGTTGGACTTCTAATCCAAAGGTCGTGGGTTCGATCCTCACAAGGGATGGTTTGTATTCTTTCTATTTTTAGTCGAAAGCCATTTTTATTGTCGTTTCTTTCTTGATATCGCCCAAGCGTAGTCCCTTTGGCGCAGCGGATAGCGCGTTGGACTTCTAATCCAAAGGTCGTGGGTTCGATCCCCACAAGGGATGGTTTGTATTCTTTCTATTTTTAGTCGAAAGCCATTTTTATTGTCGTTTCTTTCTTGATATCGCCCAAGCGTAGTCCCTTTGGCGCAGCGGATAGCGCGTTGGACTTCTAATCCAAAGGTCGTGGGTTCGATCCCCACAAGGGATGGTTTATATTCTTTCTATTTTTAGTCGGAAGCCATTTTTATTGTCGTTTCTTTCTTGATATCGCCCAAGCGTAGTCCCTTTGGCGCAGCGGATAGCGCGTTGGACTTCTAATCCAAAGGTCGTGGGTTCGATCCCCACAAGGGATGGTTTATATTCTTTCTATTTTTAGTCGAAAGCCATTTTTATTGTCGTTTCTTTCTTGATATCACCCAAGCGTAGTCCCTTTGGCGCAGCGGATAGCGCGTTGGACTTCTAATCCAAAGGTCGTGGGTTCGATCCCCACAAGGGATGGTTTGTATTCTTTCTATTTTTAGTCGAAAGCCATTTTTATTGTCGTTTCTTTCTTGATATCACCCAAGCGTAGTCCCTTTGGCGCAGCGGATAGCGCGTTGGACTTCTAATCCAAAGGTCGTGGGTTCGATCCCCACAAGGGATGGTTTGTATTCTTTCTATTTTTAGTCGAAAGCCATTTTTATTGTCGTTTCTTTCTTGATATCGCCCAAGCGTAGTCCCTCTGGTGCAGCGGATAGCGCGTTGGACTTCTAATCCAAAGGTCGTGGGTTTGATCCCCACAAGGGATGGTTTGTATTCTTTCTATTTTTAGTCGAAAGCCATTTTTATTGTCGTTTCTTTCTTGATATCGCCCAAGCGTAGTCCCTTTGGCCCGGAGCTAAATGTTAAAAAAATGGCAGTTTTTGAGAGAACTAAGCGTCCGAATTGATAGATTCAAAGAACTTTCTGCTTGTCTTAACAAAATAATTAATTTTGGAAAAAAAAAATGTCTCATTTTTTTAAATTTTTTGTATATCGAAAATAATTCATATTTTATTTTTAATTTTGACTAAAGTTCTAATATACTTTAAACAAGTGATTTTAACTTTGCAATTCAGTTTATATAATTCTTATAAATATTAGACAATGTTACAATATTTATAATAATCTATTTTAAAACATTTAATATTCCTCGATCATCTCGTTACAGTACGGGAAGTTCTAGCAATTTGCCTCAAGGCACGATGCCGTAATTGCCATAAGACAGAATTCCACTTACAGCTAGTTTTTTTTTAAATTTAATGAATGTTTTTTAATTGAAAATGTATTATTTTTATTTATTCGAAAACTTTCTTTTCACTATGATAAAAATATTTTCATCCTTATATGCAAAAATGATACATGAATAACGACTAATTATTTTCAAAGTTATTCAATCACGATAAACTATTATTTTTTAGTTTTACTAATTAAAATTAAAATTAAAATAATTTTGTTTACTATCCATAAAATTTAACAATAAATAAATTCAAATACTGCTCTAA